AAATAACTAAGACACTTCCTTAGCATATATTAAACTTCTCCTGGCATTCTCTGCAGGTAAGTAGGGGTAGGTAGGCAGTGTCTTAGAAGATTCCACTGAAGAGAAGGGGTGCTAGGTGCCACTCAGAAAGACCCAAGTTTCTTCTAGTGACAAAAAATAAGAAGACATGCCTGGTCCAGTGCTCTGAGGACTAGGGGTTGGGTAGGTGGGAACCCTCTTCCTCTGTCTCCAAGTGACCCTTCAGGGTTTCTATCCTCTTGCTGTCCTTTTTAACTAACCAGGAGAAACTGTTACCAGGGAATCAGCACAAAGCAGTGACTGGTCTTGTCTAATGACAATCATTTCATTCCTCCCACTTTCAGAGGCAAGAGCTCTGTAAATAAGCCTGGAGGCCCTTGGGAAGAACCCTCAGGTGAATCCTAGGTCAAGTTAACCTGACTCAAGCAAGCCAGGATATGTGGGTGAAGAGGAGTGACCCCTCTTTTCTAGCCTGGGAGGCCCTTTACTTTGCCATTCAAGGGTGGAACCCCGCCTCTAAAAATTCTTTTAACCTTAACATCACTATTAAGACGCCTTAGAGAAAGGAGTTAAGGCAAGGCATAGGTTAGAATTTCATGAAGTACTTTTCACTCCATTTTTCCCCTTTCAGTCCTCAGGCTGAATTGTCAGTTAGCCAAACATTAACATCCATTTTATAGTGGGGAAAACATGTCATAGAAGTGAAATGATTTGCCCACAGTCATACAACCGGTGGGGGAGGGAGCCAGGGTTCTGACTAAAATCCCTTGTACACATGACTGCACTGCCCAAGGAAGGGCAGGCGGAGAAGACACTCCACCTGCAGAGACAGCAGGTGAGAGAAGCATTCCAGTTGAGGAAAACTGCGACAAGAATGCAGAGGGAAGCAGGGAGACACAGACAAAGGAGAAAAGACAGTAGCTGAAGACCTTTATGTTTTCTCAGTTCTCACAACACCCTACTACATATAGGAAACAAATACAGGTCAGAATTTGATTCCCATAAAACTCTTGTTTTCCTTTACCCCATACCTCCCCCTAGTGGTGAACAGGATGGGGGCAAGGGTGCAGAAGGCATCTTCATACTCACAGAAAGAAAAACCTGAGAGTTAGAAATTCACTTATTCATTCAGTACATACGTGCTGAGGTCCGCTTTGTACTCACCCCTGTCCTTTGGTGCTATACAGCCCCCTAAAGAGCAAGCAGAAACAGGGGAAGCCTACAGATTGGCAGTGATGGACAGGCAAAGAGAATGTGTGTCCGGGATCAAAAGATGGAATGATATGTGCCCAGGGATACAGACCAGAGAAGTGGAGCTTCCTTTTCCTAAAACAGTTTGATCACATCCAGGAGGTGTGTGGAGGGTGAGGCTGGAGAGGTAAGTGCAGGGGCCATGTCTCTCAGAGGATGGTAGAAAGCAAGAAAGGGTTCAACCCATTGGGAAGTCATAACAATAACCTAGGAGGGTGGTCACCGGCCCAGGGAAGTAGTGACAAAGGACATGTCACTCTAAACATTCAACTGTTTGAGCATTAGTATGTGTTAGGCATTCTGCTGGGGACACATCAAAGAATGAGAAGCCTGCCCTCATGGAGCTCACAGTCTAATCGAGGAGATAAGCAAACAGCCACACAGATTGTAATATCGAGCACTGATAAATACGATGGGAGAAAAGACGAGATCAAGTATACAGTGTTTGTTTTCCAGGCTGGGTGGCTTAAAAAAAAAGCAATTCATTTCCTTACAGTGCTGGAAGCTAGAAGTTAAACAACATCAGGAGTTAGTGTGGTTGGTTTCTTCTGAAGCCTCTCCTCAGCTTGGAGTGGACTGTCTTCTCTGTGTTTCTGTAGGGCCTATCTTAGGTTCTTCTTCTTGAAAGGATACTAGTCATACTGGATTAGGACCCACCCATAGAACATCCATTTACCTTAATTACTGCTAAAGTATTAGTGACTAGGGCTTCAACATGCAATTTTTTGGAGGACATAATGAAGCCCATAATACAAGGTGATAGAATCTAATAGTAGAGGTAGAGGGAATGGAAGGATCTGAGATAATTTGCATAGGATGATGGGGGGGCACCTTTGAAATGGTAATGAATGAAGAGTGGGAGTTATCTATACAGGTATCTAAGGGAACATTTCAGGAAGAAAAAGCAGCTCATACAAGAGGCTGACATAGGACATGGCTCAGGGCTACCTGGCATACTCTGTCTTTAAGAATAGTAAGGCAGGGGTGGGAGGATGTGGGAAAGTGAGATGTCGGTTAAAGAATACAAAGATTAGATAAGAGAAGTAAGCTTAAATGATCTACTGCACAGCATGGTGACCATAATTAATAAGGTACTGTTGTCTTAGTCTGTTTGTATTGATATAACAGAATATTACAGACTGGGTAATTTAAAAAGAAAAGAAACTTATTCTCTCGTAGCTTCAGAGGCTGGGAAGTCCAAGATCAAGATGCAAGCAGGTCAGAGCCCAGGCTCTCTGCTTTCAAGATGGGGCTTTCTTCTGCATCTTCTGGAGAAGAAACCTGGAGTCATCACATGGCAGAAGAGCAGGAGAGACAGCCTATTCCTCTAAGTCCTCTTTGTAGTGGCATCAGTTCTTTCAGGAAGGTGCAGCCCTCATGAGCTACACACCTGCCACTCCCCAGTACTGCTACACTGGGGGCTAAGTTTCCACATGAAATTTGGAGGGGAAAAAAGCATTTAAACCATGGGAACTGTACACTTCTAAGAGTACATTTTAATTCTCCCCTCAAAAAATGAAAGTAGGTGAGGCAATAATATGTTCATTAGCTTGATTTAATTACTCTATAATGTCTACATACATCAAAATAACATATTGTGTCATATATATGTTTTATCAATTAAAAATAAAACTAAAATTTCTATTACGGAAAAAGAAAAAAGAAAATTAAGAAGGATAGTATGATGGGAGTGCAGCAAGATGTCCCAGTTCCTGAAAAGCCATTAGGATGGCTGGCCCTTACACTCACATGGGGAACCAATGGAGCATTTGGAGCAGAAGAGTGATGGAAGAATTTTAAAAGCAACACCTGTGTTGTGAACAGATGAGTGAAAAAATGAAAGAAACATGAAGAGTAGTTAAGTGGGCTTTGTAATAATCTAGGTGAGAAAGGATGCTGGAACTAAGACAGTACCGATGAAAGTCCGAGAAGCAGTCAGTTCTGGGTGTAGTCTGAAGAGAGGTACAGCAAGATTTACTGTCAGAAGTAAAACATTAGAGCAAGAAAAGACTCAAAGATAACCCAAAGTTCTTGTCCCAAGCAACGTGGTACCATTTACTTTGATGAGTAGACCTGTGAAATAAGTAGGTTTAAAAAGGCATGAAAATTGACAGTTTATTATAGGCAATGACTCGTTAGAAATGAGACTGGAATTCAAGGGGAAAGGCTGAGTTGAAGGTATAAATTTAGGAGATATTGCATAAATATTTAAACTATGGCACTACTAGAGATCACCCAGCAAATGTAGAAAAAGTACAGAGAAAGACTAAACCAAGGAACACTCCAATTCTTAAGAGATTAGACAAGGGTATATTCTGCAAAAACAGAGATGTTGAGAAACTGGAGGAAAACCAAGAACGTTTCTGACTTGATAGAAGCTAAATGAAGAAAATATCCTAAGCATGCTGATGCAAAACTAAGTAAGAAGATTGGAAACTGCCTACTGGACTTACCACAGAAAGGTCATTGATGAATTTCCCAGGGCTGTTTCCAGAGAGTGGTGGAGGTGAATACCTAATCATAGCTGGCTCAAGGAAGAATGGGAAAGGAAGAATCAGAGAAGTCAATGTTTTTGAATTTTGCTGTAATGGGAAAAATAAAAATGCCACGTTCAAGATGGAGAGAAAAAAATTTAAGACAGATGACTTTATAGCATACTTGTATGTTAATGGGAATAACTAATAGGAAAAGAAAAATGGCAAAAAAAGAAAAAAAGAAAATTACAGGTGTCAATACCAAGCTGGAGGCTGTCCTTGGATAGTAGAGGTGGTTCATTCTTAGGGAAGGTGGAAAGAAGGAGGAAAGAAGTGGCGGGGGGGAGGAAGGGAAGGAAGGAGAGAGGGAGGGAAGGGGGGAAGGCAGACAGGCCTGAGGAGCACCAGAGCAAGTGAGTTGGATTTGATGGTGGTGGTAGTAGGGATATGGACATTTTCCTACTTTTACTTTCTTAGTGAAATAAATATACCAATCAGCAGTGTGAGGATGGGGAGGGGATATTAAAGACTGAAGACGGAGAAATCTGACTAAATTCAAGAAACAAACTGGAGGTACTAATAGAATTTAACTTATGAGAACAGGAAAATATGAAACAAAGGAAATAAGGACAAAGTTCTGGTTTAAAATGCAACTGGGTGGATAATGGAAATGTCTTCCATTCAGGTAGGGAAACTTTCCTGTGGGAGAAGCAGGTCTGGGAGCAGAAGAGTTTGATTTTGACATGGAAAATGGAACACCCAGACAGACATGATGACTATCTGAAGCTCACAAGAAAAATCTGAGCCTAAGAAAGCTGATCTTCCTTACCTGGCAGTTCTTATCATCTTCCTACATAAAGATGATAGGAAGTAGACAGGCTTTCGTGATTGCTATTGTGAGAGGTAAAGGGACCGTTGGTTTGAAATCAGACAAGGTTTGAAATAGATTCTGGGTAAGAATGAGAATGCTGATAAGGAAATAGGGACTCATCAGGCATTCCTGGGGAGGGCAGTCAAAGGTAGAGCTCCTACCACCCAGCAATGTCCCTGAACCTCAAAATGTTTCACCTACATACAATGTTCCTTCTTCCTTGCTTCCTTAGTTAACTCCTACTCACTTTTTACTCAGATCAAGACAGAACTTTCTGTTTAAGTCCTAAACACAATTCTAGAGAGTCGTAATACTCCCAGCCTGAGTCACATTTATATACTCTGACCTTAGAAATCAAGCTACAAAAAAGAGAAAAAACTCCTCAGTTTCAACATAACACTTTTTTTTTTTTTCCAAAAAAGAATTTACTATAGTTATAGGAAGGAAATATCCTTACCTTACAGTAATGTACTTTAACTCGTGCCCCATTCCCAAACACTCAAAGCTGGAGGTACGGTAGAAAAGCTTGTATTTAAAAGTCAAGTTATTTGCATGAATCAGTCACTTTTCATTTCCAAGTTCCAGTTCCTGTGCTCGGGAGCAGAGCACGCGGTATTTCTCCGGGCTCAAGGAATACAGTGATAAGGTGTTCAAGAATTTGTCCAGTGGACAAAGCTTGTCAGGGCAACCTCTTGGCAGCTGTTCCTGTGGAAGAGACATAATTCAGCAGGTCCACTGAGGATCCCATCCTTCTGCTATCTTCTGCTTGCCAGGCAGGTGCTGCGCCCCTGAGCTACATCTCCACCCTCTGCTCTCTTCTGCTGAGCCCAGCAGTCTGAGAGGCTGACTTGAGCAGTATGTACGTGTACACATACAACAGCCAGGAAGGGCCCACTACCCAGTCCATTTCCACAATAAAAAGCGTACAACCTGCTAATAAAAGGCACTCAAGAAAAGTTTGTTGAACTGACTTGAGAAGACACAGTGAAGATATATCCTGAGCCAGGAAAGCTAAAGATCTCATCCCTGCACATAATAACAAGTGTACTGGACTCCTCCCTGCACATAATAACAACAAAGCAGCTAAGACACCAAGGGTGCTGACAACACACATCGCCGCCCAAAGACATCATTTTTAATTTTCAAAACAGACCTCACAGTCAAGATGTTACATCTTGCCAGAGCTACTCAAGAGAAGAGCAGGAAGGTGGTGACTGCCCCTAGGGGCCTTTAACAGAACTGGGATAAAGCCCAAGTCTCACCTTTCTACCACTTGGCAAGTTTTGCTCTAGTTCTAGGCCATAGCTGTGAGTCACCCTATAGGACTCAAAGACATGATGGTACCAGTGAAAACTCCACCAGGCCCTTTAAGGGAAATTAACCAGGTGAGAAGTGTTGGGGGAGGTGCCTAGTCACACCCTAGCCCTACTCAGAGGTCTTACCTCTCCATGGTAATAGAGCTGCACAAACCACTCCTTAGATTCCTGGTGCTGGTAGAGTTCTATGGTCAGATCAGCAGCAAACGGAGGCCATTTGTGATCAAAAGTCCCCAGAACCATTAAGAGAGGCATGAGGGTCACATCATGAGCTGCATAGAGGTACAGTTTTCTGCAAGAAGCAAAGAGTTTTCCACAATTCTTTACTCAGGTCTCTAGAGGCCAGACCGTTGCGTGTCCCTTGAATAAGGAACAACACTTAACTTCAGCAATCAGTTGAGCCTGGTATGAAGCTCCAATGAAACAGATAGTGGGGAGAACCTTTATCCCTACACTTCATGTTTCCCTGAGAAAGGCTCCCCTGCAGCAACTCTCCTTCCCACCCACTCACTCCTCCTAGGGAGTTTCATGGGAGCAATGTGTGGCTCAGGCCCTATCCCTCCCTGTCTTTGGATCCTGCTACCCTGTGGCAAATGCTCTTCCCACTCTCAGCCATCTGATGAGTTTAGTGGGGCAGACTCTGCTCTTTGTTCAGGAAGCCTGCAGTTTTGGAGAATTAAGTTCATTTCAAAGGAATATGAAAAAGCCTGTTTGGCCATCAACACATTTTTAAAATTTCACATTCTCAGAAATAAAGGTGACATTTTAGTCCTATTTATCTGATACCAGTATCTATCTCCAGGGAAGCATCTATCTCAATGCTTTTACTTACTGACCCTCAACCTAAAAGACTAGCATTGGACTCCGTAGCATTCTTCAGATAGAGGCAGAGATAGGTAAGGATGGCAAAAGATAGCAAGAAATGTAGTGCCACTGTGGGTATTACAAATGAGAGAAGGGCATTCATATGATTTGCTATTACACATCTTGGCCCAAAGCCTCTGAATGTTTCTTATTCAACCTAGTGTAGAGTTTCTACTTATGAGTTGTTGGGGACCACTACAAAGTGGTTCTGAGCAGGATTTAATATTAACCAATTGGCTTTCCATGTTTACTTGTGAGTTGTCTGAAGCTTAGACACCTTGTTTGACAAGATAAGGCCACAGCTGAAGACTCCAACCCAAATTACTACAAGGAAACTGCAGCTGCAGTCTCCACACTCCTACAATAAATACCAACCTAAAGATAACGTAGTTCTCCTGATTGACATAATTTACCACTTGGGAAAATTCTCCCAAGGTCCTGCAATTCCCACGTTTTCTTGAGTATCCTCCCCCTTTGTTTGAAAACTAAATAAATACAGGCTGCCCAGGGAAGTCTTTGGCTAACTCAGAGAATACTGAAGCTGTAAGAGAGTTAGTCCCTCCTGGAGCCCTGAAATCACTGCCATTGTCTCATTTATTTAAGCCTTCACCATCTACTCCCTTGGGAGACTGCAGGCCTGATCAGCCTGCAATAACTCAGGGTTATTTAACCTGGTTTTCGATACCTGTAATCTCTCTCTCTCTCTCTCTCTCTCCTTCCCTCCCTCCCTCCCTCCCCCCCTTTCTCAGTGCAGACATATCACCTGGGGAATCTGCTTCAGTTGGTCAAACGGGGACATGGGAATTCAGCACGTTCTTAGGTGACAGTGAAGCTGTTTGTCAAGACCACACTTAGCAAATGCCTAGGACACAAACATTTCAAACCCATAGCCCTGGGGTTCTGGGCTATACAAAAGTGGTAATGAGTCCATCCCAGGAAACTCAGCCACTAAGTGAGACTCTGCCTCAAAAATGAAAAGGGCTGGAGATATAGCTCAGGGTGAAGACCCTGAGTTCAACCCCCAGTATTCCCCATTACCCCCTGAAAAGTGGTAATGGAAGCTCATGAGACATTTCCAACATTTGAAAAAATGGTTTACAAATATCACACTGTAATACTTACACTTGATAGTGCCAACTTGATTAGCTTTGCGATCTGTCCAGAAGATTGGTAGAATACACTTTTGGGTGTCTGGGGTGCACAATGGAGGTGTGGCCTTGGGGTCTATATCTGATCCCTGGCCCTTCCCTCTCTGACACTATTCCCCTGCTCAGCTTCTCTGCTGCCATGAACCAAGCATCTTTGCTCTGCCACACCCACTTTTCTGCCCTGATGTTTCTACCGTGGAGCCAGCCAACCATGGACTGAATTCCCTTGAAACTATAAGCCAAATTAAACTCTCCTCTAAACTGTGGGTGTCCCAGTGATGGGGGAAAAATACACATACTTTCCGTACAGTGAGCGAAGATGTTTAATATATTAAGCCATTATAGTAAAATATGTTTAGGGCTCTTTTTGGCTAAAATAAAAATTTTAAAACATGGCACAAGAGCTGCAGCAAAAACAGAAGTGAAAAGGATATAAATCTCTTTGGGACTTGTGGTTTCTTAAACGTCTACCTACAGTCACTCACAGCCTGCCCAAATCCCCAAGAGGTTCCCCTCTCTGCAGCTAGAGGCCCGCCAGTGCTATTGTCTGCACAAAGAAGAGTTGCTATGCCAGGTACCTGGTCTTGCTGGTTGGAAGGGCAGGTTCTATAGCCCTCAGTAGGTTGTTCTCTAGGATGTGTAGGAATGGGCCAACTGCCATCTGCAGACCTTCCCTGTGAAAAGTAAACAGCCGTTAAGAGTCTTAACAGGTGTTTAGCACTCAGTTGATGTAGACTGGTCTGCTCCACAGGACCTCTAGAGGCCAGTCAGATGGAGCTGAGAAAAAGACAAGTAATGTAGAAGGCACAGCCAAGAGCAGGAAGGAGAGAGATTAATTTGAGGGCTATGTGCCGACAAAGACTTCCAACTAAAAAGCTCCAAGATGCAGATCTATTATGAATACAGCTGGAATGGGAGGGGTGACAGGTGAATGGTAACTCGGACAAATTATAAAGAACTAAGCCTTGAGGAATAAAAGCACAAAGATGGGAAGGATGAGGGTGATGACTTCCAGAAATTTCAGAAGAGCAAGTAGAAGGACTAACATCCTAAAATACATTTCCTATGTGCCAGCACTCCTACTTTTGAGGTTTAGATCATAAAGACATTTCTTATTTGTCTTGTTTATTTGACTTAATCAGAAGTTCAGCAAGTGTCCCAGGGTTGGCTCTGTGGCTCCACCACTTACATTCTCAGGCCTGTCACTTCACAGTAACAAGGTGGCTATAGTACTCAAAGCATGTTCTCTCGCAGAAGTGAACAAAGCATGAAAATGGGGACAGTCAAGTGGCAAAAAAGGGGTGTTTGTGAGTATCTCATTTTTTATCAAAGAGAAAAAAAACCCTCCAAAACACCTCTCCTAGAACTCTCAAAACCCAGTCACCAACAAAAGGGAACAAGTTCGCCGTGACTGGCTTCAACTAATCTTTACACATGGTAACTGGGTAAACTGCCGTCCTTCTGGCAGAGAATGCTGAAGCAATGGATGAAGAGTACACAACCAACCCTGCCTGTGACGTATGGCTTCCAGAAGAATGTATGCAGCACAAACCAAGTTGGACTGTGAGTTTGTAACCATTTGTCTTTGAAAAAACACCCATTTTATGAAAGCAGGCTGACTGCAATGAAAAAAGACAATGGATCAGGAGAAAGCAAATTATACCATGGCTAAATCTGACCTGCCTGCCTGTTTTTGTAAATTCAATTTTATTAGAACACAACCATGCCCATTTGTTGGCATGTTGTTCATAGCTGCTTCACATTACAAGGGCAGAGATGAGTAGTTGCAACAGAGATGACATGACCTGCAAAGCCTGATTTATTGAATGTGTGTATGCGAGAACTGGTGAGAGGGAGGGCAGTGAGTGCCAGTTTGGGTCTAGTGCAGCTGTGTTATAGGGAAGCTGGCAAGTCCTAGGGAGTGGTAGCAAGCTGAGTGGCTTAGCTGGAAGCTCTTGGATGCCTAAGGCTAGTGCACAAAGACACATGGTGACTCTGAGTCAATGCAGTCAGGGGCTCTTGTTCTAATGCAACAGATGGTACAAATTCTTGAAATGTGAGATATTCCCCCCAACACTCATACTCTGTCTTTCCTAGAACTATTCTTCCTTTTCTCATCTCCTCACTCCTCCAACTCACCTATTGTGAGTGTAAGCTGAATGAATTTACCAATCAGAAAAAGGTAGCTTCTGAAATTTGATAACAGGAATACTTTCCATTCGTTAGAAACAGGCCTTCTAGAAACAGAACCTCAGGTACCAGGAAGACTAAGAAAACACACCACTGCTGTCTGGGGATCTGGATTCAAGTTCTGGGGCTACCATCCGTTTGCTGAGCCCAGACAAAGTAGTCTCTCTCAGCCCTACTTTCTTTATCTACAAAGCCAAGGATAATTTCACTTACTGCAAGTGAGAATGTGAAATTGATTCATACATTATAATATATATAAAGTGAGAAATAATTATTCTTCCCACAGCTCCCCTACCCAAACCCTTTGAACTTTAAAGCAAAAGGAAAAAGTGAGTGATTAAAAGACACATGGCAATGGGGCGGCTCTTAGTTCTGTGTAACAGGAAATGAAAGCCCTAGGTCACCAGCCCCAGTGCAGAAATATGAGGACTAGGGCTTGCAGTGTGGGGTCATGTCAGTCTTTACAGTGATGCCAGCTGGTGGGGATGCGACAGAACTTGATGAACCCTTCACTCCCACACACTTAGAGGTCTGATCAAGCATGATGCTGTGCCAGCAGCTAAAAGGTCCCTCACCTGTCTTCCTGTTGCAGGATGTATAAGGCTGTGTCCACAGCTCTCTGTTCAATCACCTGAGCAAATCTCTTCAGCATGGGGCAGCTGGGGAGATTGTGTACCTGAAAGGACCACAGGCACAGTTTTAGAAAGAAGGCAGCTAACCAGGGCCTGCCAGGGCCTATCTCCTCCTGGAAAGCCCACACAGAGCAAAACTGTGTCCCCAAAACCCTTCTGAAGTTATGTATTCCCTTATTTCTGAAGTCCTAGAACCTAAAAAATTCTTTTGCTGCCCTTTCTGATGCTCCCATCCACTTCAAAATTTAATTTAATTTTCTTTACTGTGCTGGAATTGAATCCAGGGCCTCTTTCATGCTGGGCAAGTGCTCTACCACTGAATCACATCCCTAGTTCCCAGAATTTTATTTTTTAACTTTAAAAAAGAAAAAGGATAAGTCAAATATAAAGCAAAGAATTCATATATCTCCACTTGACATTCATTTTCCCTAAAATGAATTTTTAAAAGTATGTATACAAATACCTTACACAAATACTTCCCTTTAACTTAAACCTATTTATACATACATAAAAGGTGCACTTATGCCTTTTGGGCACGCTGTCATTTTCATAAGAAAAGAGGATTTTAAATTGCCTTCAGGTGTTCAGCTTTTGAATCTAGACAAGTATTTCTCATAGTGTAATTTTTTTTTCTTTTCAGACAGAGTCTTACTATGTAGTTCAGGATGGCTTTGAGTTCACTATGTAGTCCGGGCTGGCCTCAAACTCATGGCAATCCCCCTGCCTCAGCCTCCTGAGTGCTGAGATTACAGGCATGCACCACCACACCCAGCTTCATTGTGTATGTCTATATACTAATTGCATAATAAAAAACTCTATGGCTAAATTAGTCTGAGGAAAACAGTTACAAGATTAACCACATTTTTATAGGTATCTCAAAGTTTTCAAATATGCTAATATGCATATTGACTCTCCAAAAAAATGATACAATAAAGAGGAATCCCAAAATGTTTAGAACAGGGGGCTGGGGATTTAGTTCAGCGGCACAGCGCCTGCCTGGCAAGTGCAAGGTTGTGAGTTCTATTCCTGGTACCGGAAAAAAAAAAAAAAAATGTTTAGAACCTAAAAGTGCTAAATGTAAATTTTACATGTAAAGATTTACTATTCTTGCCCTATCATAATCTTTGCTGCATATCCACTCTGCCTGCCAGACTGCCCTATAAAAAACACACACTCACATCTCAGTATTCTAAGGATCATGTTTCAAGAAACTGATCTAGAGTTAAATGTCTGCATTCCTGAATGAGTTCTCTCTGACTGTGCCCATCCCTCCTTGATTGCTCTATGTCCCTCCGTACCCACATCCATTCCGTCTGCAAGTCCTGTCACAGCTACCGGCAAACCAGTGAGCCTCCACCCAGTTCTCAGTCAGTGCCTACCCCACAGCCCCGGACCCAGCAGAAAACAGGCATCTCACCTGCTCAGCAGCCACATTGTCTAGGAGAATAAGGAAGTCTACTTCATCACTACTGTCAGTGCCCATCCCTTCTTTCACCTTCTTCAAATCCTCTGAGATCCCTGGCTGCAAAGCAGCAGCTTCCCTCCGGCCTCTGTCAAAAAAATAAAAGCAATCCCTTATATGTTGATCAATTGTTGGCCTGTGTTCTGTTCAATACTTGAGGTCTCATGTAACTTTCACATCCCAGTGGCATTAGCTGTATTATTCCCATTTTAAACATGAGTAAAGTGAGGCTCAAAATGTCAAATGATTTGTAAAAGTAAATTAGCAAGAATTAAGGTTAGCATAAAAGGCTAGATTTTTGGAATCCTACTCTATCTATCTATTATACCAGAAATAATGCATAGTCCAGATCTATCTTACAACAACATTCTCTTTCTTAAAGAAAATGGAACATATACAGTGGAACATATATTATACAGTCTTGGTATAGCCCAGAAACACCTTAGGACTAAAAAGTATCCCTAACCCAAACCAATCTACCCCACACAGCAGCACATTGCTAAGCAAAGAAAAGGCAGTGTCTTCTCATGCTTGCACACCTGGATTTGCAGGTGGATGACCGGCTCAGTCATTTTTTATTTTACTATCAGTTTCCCCATCTGCCCCACTCCAGAGCCTAGTTGTCAGGATAATGCTTTGTAAGGCAAAGCACCATTCATGGCTATGCAGTCATCTCTCCAACTACAGTGGCTTTACCCAGGCTTCCTGTACGTTCATTATGAGCCCACCACTGTTAGCAAGAGCTCCTCCACTCCCCAGACAGCTGAAGTCAGACCTGAGTGTAATTCGGCCCCACTCCCTTATCCGCCAGTGGGTAAGCCCGCCAGGGTCCCCGTGCAAACAGTCTTCCAGCACAGATGGGAAAAGGCTGTTTCCCTTGGTGAGAGAGAGCCTCAAGTCAGTTACCTGGTTCTCTGTCTCAAGCCCCAGCAGTTCTGGTAGTTGGGGTATAAGACTTCAGAGCTTGCCTCATCAGTGTGGATGATGATCGATCCTGGAAGGAAGGATGTTCAGGCAGAAAGGGGCTTCAGCTTTTTCTTCCCAGTATCCCCACTTCATACTATCTCTTCCCTTTGTCTATAGATAGAAGGGCTCCAAGAGGCAGATCATAACGTCACTCCCTCAGGACAGTAACTGCCTTTAACAGGCCCTGGCTCTGCTACCAGGAGCTGTCCTATAGCCTGAGCTCTGGGGAAAGTAAGTACCAGCCTTGTTCTGTATAGTTTATGCCTTCTGCCGGGCCACAAATGGACTGGAGCAGGTAGAGACCAAGATCAAACTGGCATTTCCCTCCCCATTCCAAAACATCCCTGCCTTGAAGCATTACCAGCACTGGGGCATTCTCATAAATAGGCTGCCCCCAATTTGATCAGAAACAGGTTATTTTTTTTTTTTGCTTCCCAAAGATCAACCCCTATAGGTCAATATGGTGACATAGCAAATGACAGACTAAAAAAAGGGGGCCACAAGGTCACAAATACTCTGACTCCAGGTCCTGCCCAAAATAAAAGCCAGCCTTCTAGATAAACTACTAGGAACTAAAGATTAGACTCTAAGGATGTTTCTTATATATAAATGCTGTCCTTATCCCTCCTGCCAGTGAACAAAGAAGGTTGTTCTTTCCATGCCCTATTCTGTGCCGGTGGCAGGTTCTTTCTACACAGTTCAGGCCTCATAGCAAAAGAAGCAGCTCCCATCAGCACCAATTTGGAATTCACTGAGCCCAATCTTCAGAGTAATTAGGTCAATCTAAGTCCCCAAAAGCAATTTATTTCTAAGAAAATTATTGATAGTAAGAGCACCAGGACTCTAGAAGTAGCTATGGTAACTTCTGAGCATATCAGAACTCAGACATCTTTGTTGGTCTGAACAGAAGAAAATCAAGCTGAAAGTCATTGAAGTTAAGACGTGAATCTACAACTAACAAGTAGGCTGCTTTGGGAAGTCACTTCCCTGCTTCAGGGCTTATCCATAAATCGAAAGATAGGATTACATCGGTAGTTTTCAACTGTTCTAAAAAGTGGAACCTCCTCCACAATTACATAAAGCAAGAAAAGGTGATGTATGCCATATAGGAGGATCTGTAACGTGAAGCACTGGGAGCTCTTCAGGAGGGTACTAGGAACCACAGAAAGAAAGGTGGCTAGGACACGCAAGTAGACTACACTATGGATCCCAGTACCCCACCTCCCCCCAGAAAGAATCAGGGGTTCTGCAAGAGATGTGAAAAGAAGAGACCAAACAATCACAGTCCTTCTCCAGACACACATGTCCTCACAGAAGCAGCCATGCATAAAGGTAAACAGCACAGATTCTGAATCCAGAATGTCAAGTGTCTGAATCTCACCTACACCATTTACCAGTTTTGTGTGCCTGAGCAAGTCACTCAGCTCTCTTTGTCTTAGTCCTCTAATCTGTCAAAGGGGATAACAGTACCCACCTGACAGTGTCATCACAAGAATTAAACAGTATTTGTAAAGCTCTAACAATGTTTCATACATACTGAATCCTTTTAGAATAATAACTATGGTTTAAACCTCTACTGTAACACTATAAAACTGCAGTATTGCATCTGGAGTCTACTATTGGAATCAGAATATTGCAACTATTGTTCATGGTAAATAAGACACACTTGAGCAGACACTGAAATGAATGCTAAATAAAGGACGAGCTTCCTCCACAGCCTGATTTTCTACAGTTTATACGTGGACCCTCCAGCACTTTTCTAGGATTTTACTCCTAAAGCAGCAGCACCCAAAGTTGTGCCACTTCCATTAACGGCGGCACTTTCTGAAGTTCCTTGGCCCATTCAAGTCCCTTGATATTGGGAAAGGCACAGAGGCAGGTGGGACAGAAGTCAAACGGATCCAAACACCTCCGGGTCCCGCACAGGGCACTGCTGCTGTGGTGGCCACACCACAAGTTAGGGTAGTAGTTTCTCTACTGATGGAAACAGGATGCTTCCCCTCCTGCTAGCGACCAAAGAAGATGTTCTAACATCTTCCCATGCTCTGCTCTGTGTCTGTGGAAGGTTCACAGCAAAAGAAAGAAACAGCTCCCATCAGCAGTGACTGGAATTTGCCAAGTCTCAAACACAGAGTAATCAATCTAAGCCCCATGGTTATTATTCTAACACTGAAATGATTCAGAATGTACCAATATTGTTTTAAGAATGCTACAAATATCATTTAATTGGTCTACAACCTGTATGTACTTAAAGGGGCCACCGTCTTTCTCCCTCAGCCACACTTCCAGTGTTTCTGGAAAAAGGACATTTCCTTTTTGAAGCGGAGCAAGTGAAGAACATCCAGAAGATCAGGCACTATACATTACTCTTAAGCTCAAGGGCTCCCAAGAAGTTGCGGAAGTCCACCGCGTTTGCTTTATGTTAGCTAGAAGCACACACTGTGTTTAGCAGCCAACTTCGGCCAGAATTAACAGCAGTACCCCGTCCAGTTGGGGACAAAGCCAGCCTGCTCTGGCTGGAAAGTTCCACTATCTTACATATTTTTAAGTTTGGTGGAAATTTTGTTTCTATTTGAGATACTGCTGCAAGAAGCTGCACAAAATAAGAAGCCTTGCCCTATTGTACCATTTAGTATTGGTGAGGTCAGGATGATCTGAAATCCAGACCAGTAATTAAATATGAATTTGAATCAATTATAAATGACAAAATACATGCTCATTTGATGGCCAGAATCTCTCAAACATAGGAAATAAGAAATGCAGTCATTGGTGGTGGAAAATTTGGGAATCACTGACGGCACTCACTCACTAGTTGAGTATATCAAAACCAAAACTTGATAGACTTCTTCACCTAGGAAAGGCTGAACAGAATACTGTCAATACCACGTGGATCACGCTATGGATTATCATCACTATCATGCTATGGATTATCATCAATATCAGAGCAGGAGCAGCAATCTTAGGTTCCAGCTAAGGGTCCCTCCTGCCATCCTATCTTCTCAGCAGTGCTTCATTACTGTTCATAATATCTGGATATGGCTGCCTTCCGCAACTTGTGTAGAAGCCTGAGAAGTCAGGAGTCAGAGGCACATCAGGTCAGCGGGCTAAGGCAGCACAAGGCTAGACTGGGAAGGACCCTCTAGGATAGGTACACCCAGGAGTCACATGTGCAAGAGAAGAGAGGTCAAAAGAACAGGCACCAAGGATGAAGGGGGCTTTGGAAGTGAGAACACAGAGCTGCTCGGGCACAGGGCTGACTTTTAGACTTCAAACACAAACCTTCTTTATCACGCTGAAAAAGCCCAGCCAGCAAACAACGAGTAGACTCCAGATTCCGATACATGTTAGTGGAACGAACACTAGAAAAAAAAAATGAAAAGGCAGAAATGCTCATAAAAAGAAAACTGAATTATATAAACTCTACCTTATTCCACTAAATGGCTGGGAATCCTGCAAGACCAAATAAGGTGTGAGAGGGAAAAGGAAGAATACTTTACCTCTCTTGGGATGGTGGGACTCAAAGGCCAATGAATGTGACCTCCAGTGACCACCTGTTCACGGGATCCTGTGACACAGAGTAACTGCATCATGGCAAAGTGTCTCCCAAACCATCTGACACTGTTGTGGGGATCAGTACAGATTTGCCCATGCTTAAGACCTTAAGTCAGGTGCAACATCTCTTCTGGTGACTTACAAGACCTCCTGGGGTTTGAAGGATGATGAAAGAAAGGGGATGGCGTCCACATATTTCTTCCTCATTCTCTCTCCTAAGGCAAACATCTGTTCCATGCCCACCTTGGTCAGCTGCCCAGCAAACATGCCCCCCTGAAGTGGGGAAGAGAGCAGAAGAATAAAGCACCTGATAGCCTGCTGAACTCAGCCCACGGAGAACCACTTACACTTTGCAACGGGCTCCCAGAGCAGGAAAGTATTGCTCACCTTCAGGGTGGTCTTGTGGTAGTGAGCATCATAAGAAGAATGTGGTTTGGGACCACCAGCTAAATTGGTGACCGTGTAATCGAACTGAGTTTGAGGAGGGACCTCTAATAGCTGGGGGCTCCACTCTACCTGTTGTGACCATAAAAAAAGCATATTTTTAAGAAAACGTTCTTGAAACAGCATTAACAGCCAGCAGCCCTATAATATTCCCATGGAAAGAAAGAAAAGAAACTTTACTCAGAATCAAAAGAAGAAATGATCATAATTTACTATTCTATTTGTCCTGAGCTCATGTCCTGTTATTGCAACAACACAAATTCTCACCTTTAAGAGGCTGCCCCAGCTCTAAGCTCACACTGAAGGACAAGGGAGAAGTGATGGAATATCCAGCACACAAATACCTGCTGAGTGAGTGAATGAATGAATGAATGAATGAAAGAAATATGATCTCAGAGACTATGTCTGTAAGCATTTCTAATGAATTAATCTGAAGGTTTCCATGTCTGGCACCCTCTACTTAGGACTCTGGTTAATATCCTTTGTGATTACCATGTATTTTTCCCTTCCTCTCATCCTATTTCTGAAACAAGCACATTTCATCTAAAGGCATTGCTTCATTTCCGTTTCTACCTTGCAATCTGGTCCCTGTCCCAACCGTAACGTAATGGTTTTTAAAATATCACAAGTGGGAAAAAATCAATCAATCAATCATCACAAGTGGCTACAGATGTCATAGCTCCAATTACCCATAATTTTTCTTTTGTTTTTGTTTGTTTGTTTTGGTATGGGGAATCGAACTCAGGACCTTGTGCCTGCCAGGCAGACACTTGTGCTGCTGAGCTATATCCCCGGCCCTACCCATAAAATTAACACTCAGAGTCAGAAGTGATAACTTCAGTTTTAAAAACAAGATTTTTTCCTAGTCCCATATACCTGCTCCTCTTCCCAACCTATTATATCTCTCTCAGTGCAACAATAATGCACCTGGGCCTGAAAACTCAAACCTCTGATTTCCTGCTACTCTATGATCCTTGTACCAAGCTCTACTGATTTGTTGGCTAGTGAAAAAGTCACTAGCAATGGTCCTTCCCCTTCTACTATCTTACTGTCAGAGTATAAACCTTACTCATGCAAAGACACCTTCCTCCTTTCCAGTTCTGATCCTGTAATTCCCCTGGGAAAAACCCTTCAAGGTTTCACAGCTGTTTGATGGGCCAGTCTCTTCTCCAGCGTCCTCCTCACCAATTCAGCCCTGTCCCCTACACTTACTCTCAGGAAACACAACTTTAATTCCTTTAGTACCAGTCTCACACTTCCTGGCTTTTTTCAGTGTCATTCCTCCTGCCTGGAAATTCTTCTTCTCTTATCTGGAAAGACTCTCATTTATTCCATAAGACTCAACAAGCCCTGATGATGGCCTAAGATTACATAGCAACCTCAGTGACTTTCTGTGGGAGTCTTTACCAAAATGTACGAGGAGAAGTCCTCTACTGGTCTGTCCTGCTCAGTAGACTTAGTTTCCTGAGAAGAGACGAGGTCACCTACTGACCCCGATATTCTGGATGCCTTAAAAGGGTCTGGTATGCCACAAGTTCAATTAATGGTTCTGACAACTTGCCAAACCCTGTGGAAGATACCAAGCCTGCAATAACTTGATCCTGCTTTTCCTGCCTTTTCAGGAAAAGTCTGGCTTTTGCAAAATTCCTTTTCAGCAGAGGAAGCAAGCTATGAATATAAACCATAGAAATGCTGTTACAGATATGTGCTGTAAGAAGCCAGATAAAGGACATCAAAGTTCAAAGGCAAGACAGACATTTTGTTTTGGCTACAGATTCAGGAAAAGTTTCATGGGAGGAATGTATTTGAAATGAATAGGATTTAGACAAGCACAAACCTGAAGTTGTAAGAAGTAGGTAAGGAGAGAGGGTGGCATTCCAAATTCCAAGAACAGATAGCCTGAGGAAAGTGGAGATGGTGAAGAATTATAGCAAATAAGTGGTTCCATTTCCTCAACCCGGGAACAGCTTTCAAACTTTTTAATTAGCAAGTACCAAGTAAAGTTGAATTTTAGATTTGCACATATAAATGCAAAAGCTTCTCTGGTTCAAGTAGGAATAGGACCCCAGAGTCTCAGAAAATCAACACCACTGTTAGAAAGAGTAGTTAGAAAGCTGACAGTATATACGTATTACAACTGTGTCACAGTGTGTGACCATGGAGGCACAGAGGATGAATGATTACTTAGAGATGAGACTTCTTAGTTCAATCACCTAGAGGCTCAGAGGGGCTAACTCCACTGAGAACACAGCATGAGGGAAATTCCCAGAAGCGCTGAAGCCAAGAACGCTTGGCTTTTATTTAGAATATCAGTGTAGGTGAAAAAAGCAAAAGAAAAACAGTTTGGGTAAGGAGTTGCCTCAAGCCAAGGCAGTTTTTCTTGGGGAAAGAGGGAGGACAATGGCCACACACAACAGGCTTCACTAATCTAAACTTCTTGCTGTTTAACCATTCATTTCTCATAGAGCCTGTGTGCTTTTGCCCCAGAGTTTAACCATTCACTCCTCAGCCAAGTCCCCCACACGGGTGGTATGGAAAGACCAGAAGCAGAAAAGCAAATTTTAGGATGTCTGTAACAGTTTACATAAGTAGCTAAGGTTTCACCTAAGGCAGGAGAAACAAGGAGGCAGATGTAAGATATTTGAGTTAGACTTGACACTTAAGTAGACAAAAGCTTTATTTGGCAGATGGGTTGCTGGGTAAACAAAGAGGAATAAAGAAAAAAACCACTTTAATTTTTAGTCTGTGTGCCTAACATGGAGAGGATAATGGAAGTGTTCTTTGACTAATATTAAGACAAAGACAACTTCTAGAAAGCTGAGTTCAGTTTTGGTCATTTTAATTTGAGATAGCTCTTTCTATTGCCAGTACTCTCTCTCTGCATAGTCCCATAATTAAAATCTTTTTTGTCCGTCTTTTTCACCATGTTGTCAACTCCCTTAAAGCCAAGATTAAATTATCCATCCTGGTAAATCCATTGTCTAGCACAGGCTAGACAGGCTACAAGCCCTTTAGCCACACTAAGGAATCTCTTCCTCTTAGGCACATTCACCAAGTGAAGATCTTTGGTGTCTCCCAGCGGACAATTTCTAAAGTCATCATGTCAAGTTTATGGTACACATTTTCGGATGTTCAAGAATAAACAATACATCAGTTTCATATATGGTAACCACCCACTACACACACACACTCTCTCTGTCTCTCCTGCTCTTCAGCTTCCAAATTAGTGGCAAGGTCTAACTTGATAATTTTATCTGTTTCATTTATAGTACATCTTCAGAAAGAAACTTAAAGTAGATTATAGCAATACTAATTTAAAATAGGTAAGAAAGACAAAAGGAAACAAATACAAGAACAAAAATGAATACAATGGTAAGTTTATTTAAAAATGCATACCACAAGGATCCAAATACTTATCATAGGTGGGCCACAGCTTTGGCACTAAGCGTTCTAGAGCAATGTGATCAGCTAGACAAGTTTAAAGATAAAAGCAAGCCAACTGCTGGGAGAAGTACACCATTTCTAATGCTAACAGACAAATTTCTCCCGAGGGTCCTCATAAAGAAGATAGAGTAATAGAATCAACATCTTTCCAGTAGTCACTGCAATGGGTTCTGTGGGAGTGTTTCTCCCAGTTCCCTCAACACTAAAGTGTACTGCATTGAAGGCAATTCTGTACTGGGAAGCAATATTCTACATTCCAGATAAAAGAAAAAAATCTACATGGAGTAAACAAAAACTTTCTAGGTATAGTTTTTAGAATAAAGTGATGCTTTAAACTTGGCTGTACACTGGTATCACTAAGAAAATTTTTAGCTACTGATGTTTGAGCCCCATCTTGGACTAATCACACAGGCTAGTCACAGAGCCAGGGTCTCCATTTTCTAACGCTGTAAGATCCAGATAATTTAAAGCTTCACCAGAAAAATGTTTACAATGTTTGGATGCCCTGGGCCAATTAAGTCAGACTTTCTGGGAGGAAAATTCAAGGATCAGTAATTTTGTTTGGTTGTTTTTTGAGACAAGATCTCGCTATGCAGTTCAGGCTAGTCTCAGACTGACAATGGTTCTTCTGCCTTAGCCTCCCAAGGGCTGGGATTACAGGTGTCTGCCACTATGCCCACTAAACATTAGGGTTTTTTAAACTTCCCCAGTAGAGTTCAATGTCTTACCAAAGTTAAGAACCATCAATCCAGAAGAATGGATGGACTGACTGGTACAACTGTTCTTAGCTTACCTCTGGATAGGAACAAAGCAATATAACATTATGTCGCCTAGCTCAACTACTCTCAAATAAAAATGAAAATACCTTAACTATGGATATGGGGTATAGTGAACTTTATTTTATAAAAATAAAAATCTCCTTGGTGGGGGCCACCTTGCCACTGTCCAGAGGACATCTCACGGAAACCTGAAAGCAGGATCAAGTCTTCTTTTGAAAGTGTACTTGGACCTACTCTACTAATCAGAAAAATGGCCAAACAAGTTCCATAATTTTATTTCCAAAGCATAATCTTTCAGCAAGACAGGTTATATCAATAGCTAGTCAAGCCATAAGAAACAAAATACAGTTTTAAACAATGCTACTTTCTACAGATTTATGAGATAAAACTGAATGACTTGTTACATATGTTCTATCTATAGATCAGTTAGAAAACAGGAAACATGTATCAAAAGCAATTTTAATTTCAGAATTGTTGCCAGGCAGTCTCATGTGACTACAATTTATAACAGAACCAGAAAGATTAGAAAATCCCAAAAACCATGTCTTTCAAATTGGATACTGAAAAAACAAATCTGAGATATCCAGAAACAAGCTATAGAAAGCTGATGACATTCACTAATAGCATAAGCTGAAAGAGAGCTGGTTCCATTCCTGGCTTTTATATATAAGTTTTATACTACTGGTAGCTAAAATGTTTAAAGGATCTGCCTACAGTCTTCAGAGTATGAGCAGACAAAAGAGGTACATGTGCCGTCCCTCACTGTAAAGTGAGGCCATGGAATCAGATGTTCCATATTTTGTAGCTGCACAGACAGGAGATAAATGAAGCTAGTACGCTAAGCAAAAGCCGCCCCTTTCACCATAAAGGTAGAAGATAACCTGTCACACACCCACTGACTCAGAAAAAAATCTCAGAGAGAACCTAAATCTTTCTCCAGGGCATTCAGGGGGTAGGTATACCAAACTGGACCCAGTGCTGGTGCAGGTGTAGACAGACAAACTTTTATTCTCTGTTACTACCAATAACTTTGTTTTTAATATGAATATAACATATATAACAACATATTACTTCCCAGCCCTCTGCAACAAGAATAAATGGAGAGGAATGAGGTCAGGATGTACATAAGAGATGGGCTATGTGAGTACAAAATGATAAAAAAAAAAAATTGGCGAGCTAATATAAAGGGCCAGGTAAAAAGCCAGGCAGGGTGGCACATACATGCCTTTGGAGTCTGAGACTGGAAGGTTGGGAGTTAGAGCCCAGCCTGGGCAATTTAATTGACTTAGTGAGAACTTGTCTCAAAATAAAAAATACAAAGGGCTAAGATTGTAGGTCAGTGTAAAGTCCTTGAGTTCAACACCAGGTTTAAAAAAAAAAAAAAAAGACAGGTGTTATGTCTTGTGTCTGAATATCCGCCCCCAAATCCTCGTGTGGTCATAAGTGGGATTTTCAGAGGTGGCAGAATCTAGAGTATGTGATGTTGGGATTAAGAGTGGGTGATTACTAAATTACTTCACTGATTGGTTTAGCATAGGATTAAGGGTACCCCACGCCCGCACCCTAGGTGTGAGTGGATACAATACAAAGGACAAAAAGAATCTCTCTTGTCGCTTGTTGCTTGTTACTTTGCTAGGTCACTTGTTTGCTGCCTTCTGCCTGCCTTGCCCTCCTCTGCAGTGTCCTCCTATACTACCACTTTGGGTATTTTGTCTCAGCAACAAGAGAAGCTAACTAAGACACCAGGTAAGGGGATGAAAAAAAGATCAAAGCATCGAAAAGAAAAAAAGAAATTCCATTACTGGCTAAAAGTCGGATAATCATAGGAAGACTAACTAGAAAACTGGTTAAGTGCCTGCAAAAATATATTTATGAAAGAAGTGCCTTAAAGATTTGATTTCATATGTGGCCAACTTTAAAGACTGGATTTTCAGTTGTACAGTGTGCAGATACAACCCTCACAGCGTTGGGAAAGCAGCTATGATAATGAAGAATATACCTAATACCTGTTTGGTCTGCTCCAACATCAAGGGAAAACTAACCATACAAAAGCACTCCACAGGTTAAATGTGACACTTGGGGGCCTAGGGATTTGTGGTTGTCTGTCTCTCTTCACTAAGCTCCTCTGTTACAAGAGGTCACATCCAGAAAGGATAATCATTTCAAACCAAACCAAACCAAAACAACAAAACCCAGCTAATTTTTGTGCTTTAATCATAATTATCCTCGCCAAAGCAGGCAGATTTTAAGCCACAAGACCAGCCAATTTTTACTTAAATTTTAAATTTAAATTTTCTAAAAAATCCCTTTCACTACAGGTTTGGAATCTTAAAATGTAAAAGAATCCCAAGACATAGCACTTGTTACCAAGAAGCCGTCAGATCTCAAATGGCCTTTGGCAAACCCTGAGCTGTCAACCATAAGCAAATCGACCTCTGTTATCACGGTTATAAAGGTTCTGGCAATTCTGACAACCATCAAAACAACGATACACAAGTGCACTTCAGCCCTGTACACGTTCACCCAGACACCTTCGTGAAATGTTGAATCTCTGGCTCTACCAGACACATGCTGAGTTAGAACACACATTTTACCAAGATCCCCAGGTGATTCCTTTGCACCTTAAGAAGGCCAGCTATGGGATGAAACAAAGTTTGGGCTGTCCTATCCCGGAGGGTCCACGCACTGGCCGCCGAAGGAGGTAAAGAACAGAGGGCAAGGACCCCAGCCAACCCCTTTCCACGAGGCGCTTGCCCTCCCCGCCGCTCCACCAGCCTGGCCCCGGCCCACCCCTCACCTGCTCCTCCAGCGGGAGCGCCTTGAGAGGACTCCGCGCCCCGTGTCGAAACACGACCTGTACCATTTTCAGCTCCAGCAGGCTGCGATCAATAGGACGCTGGCCGTCGGCTGGCCGCCGCTCGGCCAATGCTATCCGCTGCCGGTGGAAGAAGTACGCCAGCGAGGTCAGGGCGCCCACCGGGGCCCACACGCGCATGCCGAAGACCCCGGTGATCATGGTGGTAGCTCCTCGCCGCCCTCCGGGTTGCGGTCAGTAGGGGAACGCAAGTCCTCCGTTCGCGCCGGGGCTCAGCGGCCGCTCCCAAGCTCGTGGAAACTGGAGGGAAAGCACAGCCAACACCGCAGCAACTCCCAGCCCTGAGAGAGACCCGGAGAGGGCGCGCAGGGGAAGAAGCTGAGGTGGAAGTACAAAGCCTCCCCGGGAGTTTTCACCGGGGCAGAGCTGGTCGCTCCCGCTGTAGACTGGGCCTGGGGAAGCTCAGTTCATCTTTTGCCCTCTAGGGAACCTTAAGCTTGGATTTCAAATTTGGCCCCCAGCACTCTAGAAGGGGCAGGAATCAGCCCTAAATTTCTCGGTACCGAAACCTCTGGAACAGAATCCCCTAATCTACTTTCTTATAAACCCAGAACCACCTCCTTACCCTCAGAACGGGTCCAAGTGGAACCGCGCAGAGGAGCACGGGAAAGGAGTCCGGTGGTGACTGTCTGTCCGCAGGCTGGAAACTGTGAGAACTACAACTCCCATAGGGCAGTGCGCAGGCAGATTTTTTACTATCCCCCCGGGGAGATTGTAGGCCCCCTCCCGCTCCGCCCCGCCCTGCCCCTAGTCTCCGGCCAGTCTGCAGGCCGGAGATCCCTGGTCTTTTCTGGGTGGACAGGGCTGAGTAGGTCCTGTAAAGTCGGTGAGACAGGTTTACCAAGCAACGGCAGGGAGGAAACACAAGGTTAAGAATAGAACGGGACGGTGGAGGGAAGTAGTTTTGTTCTGGTTTTATGTGTAGAAAACTTTAAGTACAGGAAGCTGGGTTATTGAAACCAAGAGCAGAGACACCTATTAAGTGGTTATCATTTGCAAAGCTTGGCTCACAGTCTTTATATTTAGTTTACATTTACTGTGGATGTTGAAGATGGTTAAAATTCTCAGGTGTAAATCATTGTAATCATATGACACTAAGTTCTCTGATATTTTTACTTACATCCACAGTACATATTTCTTGTGGAAAAAAACCAAGAGGGTAACCAAGAACCTAGTCTTACCAGTTGTTGGTCTGGTTTCTGTTGAATATAGTCATCCCAAACTCGTATTCCCAGAATTTTGCAACACGATGCAATCTAGAACCCTATGTAATCATTGCAAGGTAAAGGCCAAGTTGTGAGAAGAGTATATAACTTCGAACCATTTCTTTAATCATTCTCAGTGATATCTTTGGATGAAACTGGAACAGAAGATGACATACTGTAATGGTTGACACACTGTGTCAATCTGAGAAGTTTAGAAGTTTAACTAAATCAGCAGGGAGGAGGGTCCTTACTTTGTAAACATCCTCATGCTGTGTAAATGGAAGACAGAGAGAGGGTTTGAGTGCTGCGCCCACCCCTCAGGAGGTGGTAGTCTGCTTGCAATATAAGGGAGGAAAAGAGGCTTGCTCTCCAACCCTCTTTTGCTCTTGTTGCTTTTGCTGTCTTCTGCCACCTTGAACTGTTGCCCCTCTGCCAGGCCACCCTACCTTGGAGCCAGCTGATTATGGACTGAAACCTCCACAAACTGTGAGCTAAAGAAACCTTTCTTTCCTTAATTTTGGGTGTTGGGTACTTTGTCCCAGCAAGGAGAGAAAAGTAACTAAGACAGTTTGGTACTGAGAAGTGGGGTCATTGCTGTGACTATACCTGACCAAGTGGTTCAAGAGCCTTTGGGAATGGCTTGTGGGAAGAGTTTGGAAATGTTTGGAGAACACTTTAGACTGTTCTGTATGGAAGAGTCTGGTCAGAGCTCAGAAGACCAGAAGGCTGATAGAAATCCTGCCAGTAAAGTCCAGGCTTGGGAGGTTTCTTTTGGGAAGGACTGCATTGGCTGTTGGACTCCAGACGAAGTATGTTGTGGTTTGGCAGAAAGTTTGTCTGCATTTTGCTCATGTCCAGAAGCTTTGCCTGACACTAAGATTAAGGGTGGTGGACTAACTAATCTGGTGGAAGAAATTTCAAGGCAGTTGAATGTTGAGGCGGCAACATGGCTATTGTTGGGGGATTTTAGCCACATCTATGTTGAGGATCAAGAATAAAGAGCCCAGTAGGATGATTTAAAACGCTGTTTGTCCAGGTAGGAAGCCCCAGTAAAGCTGTGGATTGCAAATACAGAGCTGAGGCAATCTCAATTGCTGAGAAAGAACCAGAGAATATAAAAGATGGCAAGAGGGCACACAAGAAGCAGCAAGTCCCCAGCCATTGTAGCCTCAAAACTGCAAAAGTGAAAGATTTGCTTTGAGGAGAAAGCCGCAGAGTGCCATGTTCCAGAATGGCAGTGACCACACCAGGTTCCACAATGGTAGCAGCATAGAAAATTTGTTCCTCAGAATTGGATTCTGAGTGCCCAGCAATCCAGGCACTCAACTTCTACAGCCAAGAAAGAAGAAAGCCTGGCTACTGCTCCAGCTGACAGCAGACCTTGGCATCATCCACATGGTGCAGGTTTTAGATGCATGCATAATGCAAGAGTTATGAGGTTAAAAAGCTTGCACTTTGATTTCAGAAAGCCTGGGAGACCAGGCAGTGTGCCCCTGGGAGGGCAATGTGTGAAGCTATGAGTGAGAAGCCTAAAGTGCAGTGGAGACCCCAAAAGTTTGGAAAAGCCAGGAATGTGAACCATCTAGGAAAGCTGCAAGGAGGGAGCAAAGCTGGCCTAATAGAGAAGTTGTGGGGGCTGAAACCACCAGAAGTGCCATAGGGATGGAGTCATTTGAGCCCTTTGGAGCTCACAGTGTGCCATAGATTGCTTCTGATGCTGGACATGGAACTATAGGACTTAATGTTTGCCCTGCTGGATTTTGGACTTGCTTTGGTCCCAATCCTTTGCATTCCACTGTTTATAACTTTTGGAATGGAAATGTTTATCTTGTGCCATTGAATGTTGGAAATGTTTAATTTTATTTTCATTTGTAGCAGGGAGTTGCAGCTAAGAGTTTGCCTTAAATATCAGAGAAGACTTGGGACTTGGACTTTTCAGCAATACTGAAACTGTTAGGACTTTGGCAACTCTTAGAGATGGACTAAATGCCTTTTGCATAAAGGGATGTGCATTAGTCTTTGGGAGACCAGAGAGGGAATGTTATGGTTCTAATGTAAAATAATGTTGATAGAATTAATACTGGTTAAGTATTGTTAAACCTGTGTTATAATGTTCAAGTTGTGAAATGTTAAAAATATGCATGTCTTTGTATCTGGAGACCAATTTAAAGAAAAGTGTCTGGTTGACAAGTTGACAAGGGGAGGGTTGTAATGGTTGATACATTGTATCAATTTGAGAAGTTCAGAAGTTTAAGTGACTCAGTAGGGAGCCAGGGTCCTTACTTTGTAAACATCCTCATCCTATGCAAGAGGAAGACAGGGAGATGGTGTGAGTTCTGCACCCAATGTAAATAGTAGCCTGCTTACAATAGAAGGGAGGAAAGGACACTTGCCCCCCTCTTTTGCTCTCGTTGCTTTTGCTGTCTTCTACCACCCTGCCCTGGAGCCAGCTGATTATGGACTGAAATCTTCACAAACTGTGAGCTAAATAAACCTTTCCTTCATTAATTTTGGATGTTTGTATTTTGTTCCAGCAATGAAAGAAAAATAACTAAGATACATACTTAATGGAATGTGAGCTTCACACCTGAATCTAAACTTCTTCATGAACTGGAAGGTTCTAAATATACTCCAGTGGGGGAAGAGGGGTCCTTTTGGAACATCGCATTTTGCCTCTGCTTTTCTCCATGTGCCAGCCCATGGATGCAATTTTTAGTCTTATTGTATGTCCTGATATGATTAAAAACTGAATCCTGTTTGCTGTGGATTCAGCTGCCCTCATCCCCACTGACATAGTAAAACTCTAACCTCCAGTGTACCTGTATTAGATAATTAAAATTAAATGAGGTCATAAGCATAGGGTAGGGCTGGGGATTTAGCTCAGCAGCACAGCACCTGCCTGGCAAGTGCAAGGTCGTGAGTTCGATTCCTGGTACCAGAAAACAACAACAACAACAAAAAATCTTAGCATGGGGTACTAATCCAATAGGATTGATGATTTTATAAGAGGAAGAAAGATATCTTGCCATGACCATACACTGAGAAAAGACCATTGTAAGTATATCGGTAAAAGTGAGCATCTGTAAACCAGAGAGAGAAGCCTTCCCAGAGGCTGACGACCATAACTGCAGACTTCCATCTTACAGCACTATAGGTAAATACATTTCTATTGTTTATGCCACCCAGCTGATGATATTTAGTTAAGGCAGCACAAACAGATTAAGACTTTGATTTAATATAGTGTCCATAAAGCAGTGGGTACATCAGACAATATGGTTTTGGAACCTGTGTAATGAGATATAACTGGAATGGTTGAGAATTTTTCCTAATAATTCAATAAAAACATGGTATAGTTCAGTGCGGAAAGGTCCTGGTATTGGAGCAGCTTCAGCAGTCTTGGTAATTTTTATCACATCACAGCACCATCAAGGGCAATGGAATACAGACATCTGGGTGCCAAAACCTCTCTACAATAGTAGAAAAGGCAGCAGCTTTAGTCCACCCTTGTGCTAATAGATGAGGCAACATTGGCACAGACTTGGCAGGCATGGTGAGTGTATGATCAAGATACCAAAGATAACTGAGCTCAGGCTTTTCACTAGTGAGTCAGCATATGTTGTGTAGTCAGCCTGCACATGCACAATGAGTATGTAAACAAGTAGTCTGTATTATATAAGTTTTGGGGAACTTGCTGACTTGGTGTGATATTGTAAATAAGAATGGAACTGCAGCGTTGTGTCCCATGCCACTGAGATGGTAAGGCATATCAAACATTTCCACAGCCCCACATCTTTTCATTGGTTACCTTATTCTCAAGTGAATCTTCCCAGCCTAGACTTGTAGCTGAACAGTGAGCATCCTGTTTGGTCTGTATGAGCAATAGTAATGGCTTGTCCTGCCAAGGTGTGGGAGATGTGTTGGCAGTAGATCTCTATAGAAAGCCAGAGCAGGTAAGGTTGGGAAAATGACAGATTCCATGTCTAGAGGAAAGTGCTCCTTGTCAGCATATGTGGAACAACTCTTCAGGAGTTCTGTGAGTATTTTCCAGATACATACTACATGGTAGTGATGGTGAGCTTCAGTTTAAAAAGAAAGCTCAGAAGTCCTGAAACCATACTCTGGAGACAGAGAAGGGAGGAGTAACAACATTTGCAACTTATTTTGACCCTGATTGTACTACTAGGCAGGGATAGCTTAAGAAACAAGCCCTCCTTTCACCAAATTGTCTTCAGAGAGTTACATTTCATATTATCCAAATCTTACTTGTGAGATTAGATAAGAAATAATAATATTCACTATTTAATTTCCAGTGGTGAGCACAGTGCCTGGCTCATAGTTAAGTACTGCATACTTGCTTGCCAAATGAAATTATAGGATATGTGTGGTGAGGGACATTGCCCATTACATTGCTTACTGCTTCCTATAGAAATCTTATTCTGGGAAATTTGGTTTAGAGCAA